GCCGCCCGCGCCCTGTGAGGTCCCGCAGCTGGCTCTCAGAAAACAACACCCAGTCCACCTGGTCCCTGTTGCAGTCAGTCCGTGCAACTACTTAAAACAGGACGGACGTCATCATTTCCCATCTTGAGTTGCGCCCATGTCTGGCCTATGGGTGTTTCCTAAAGGAGTTCTGGTGATGCTGTGGGTTAAGCACTGGGACGTCAGCTGTTCGAACTCAACAGCTGCTCCGTGGGAGGAAGATGAGGCTATCTGCTCTTGTAGAGATCCCCAGCCTGGGAAGCCCCGGGGAGCAGTTCTGCTCTGCCCTGTAGGATCCCTGTGAGCTTAGCCACATTCCCTGTGGGGCAACTTTCTGGCATAAATATGAAGGGAGGGGGCTCGTTCATATGTCATTGCTTACTCAGAGCTGCCTCCACCACCAACAACCTCCTGGTGGCCTGTTCAGAGACCTCCAAGCCCAGATCCAGGGACATTGCCCCTCCCTGCCTGGCCTCCAAAGCCGCCTTCGTCTCAGTGCCTCAGTTTCCTCATCCTTAGGATGGTTCTAATAAAGGTTTCCTCGTGGCCCGGCCATGGGTATATGCTCTGGGCCATGCTCGATCTACCTGTGGCGGAATAGCACCGCACCCCATGGGATTCTCAATGGCGTGCTTTTCCAAGAGTCAACCACCGGACATTTCAGCTGAGGTGCCTCTGAGTGGACTCAAACTGCCAACCTTCCGGTGAGCAGCCCAGCACTTAACCAGCAGTGCCACCAGGGAGGCCTCTGCTTAGCACAGCACTTAGCAACTGCACGTGTTCCCACTGCTGTTGTCTGCAGTCTTGGTGGGCTCCAGGTTTGCCAACAAGAGGGAGGGCTGTGAGCCCAAGACACCTGGCTTGCAGAGCCGTGAGAGGGGCAGGCTCAGCAGGTGCACAGTATAGAGAGGGGCAGGCTCAGCAGGTGCACAGTATAGAGAGGGGCAGGCTCAGCAGGTGCACAGTATAGAGGGGGGCAGGCTCAGCAGGTGCACAGTATAGAGAGGGGCAGGCTCAGCAGGTGCACAATATAGAGGGGGGCAGGCTCAGCAGGTGCACAGTATAGAGAGGGGCAGGCTCAGC